AATAACAAGTGGCTTAATAGATTCAAATTCTCCTCTCGTTTTCTCAGAGAAAAATTCCAAGATGCAACTGGCCATAAATATATTGAACTCATTTGTAAATGTTTTAAAGAATGTCAAGTGAAAGTGTAAGCTGAATTGTACTAGAGTGGGATAATAACAACAATAATGAGTAAAGAAATAAACGTTCATTTAACAAATTGCATAAAGTGCATGGCGATAGTGTGAATAACCCAACACAGTCCTTATCACTTTATAATAATCAAAAATAATAATATGGTAATTACGTCATCATTATTACTATTACTAAAATCAGTCTATTATAATAATTATCGAAAATTATTATATTCTGTGGAAATATTAAGATAATTCACACAAAAACAACAATTCTGCAAATCACTTAGAGTAAATTTTCAAATAAAATTACCTTCGAAAATTTATCATTCTCATTGCAATTTTTTAAAATCACCAAGTGAATTTGTAAAAAACTGTAATTTTTAATTACGACGCGTTAGGGTGAATTATGGCAAAATTTTTTGGATTGGGAGAACTTTCTCGTTTTCACCTTTGAATATTTTTGAATACAACTGACAATGTCTTGTTATTTTTTTTATAGAAAAAGGCTGTGATGATATGTTTAAAAAAGCGAGGCAAAATGGGGTAGGCGGAAAAAATATCCCCGGAAAAAATAGCCCACACACCCAAAACGTGTTAAAACCCACCCAATTTGATAGACCATAGGAAAATTAGAGCCCCTGGAGAAATAGACAACGAAAAAAATAATTAAATTAAAAAATAATTGAATTGAGCGAGTTTTAACACGTTTTGAATGTTATTTATTTATATATATATAATATTATATATATATAAATATTTTTTCCCTGGGATATTTTTTCCGGGATTCGCAAAATGGACTCGATGCGAGACCACACGGAGAGAAATATTTAGTAAAAATTACGGAATTTTCAGTTCACTTATCGATTACGGAATTGATTCGAAAAATTTAAATGACGGTATCGTTATTTTTCACTGATAATTCAGATAAAAATTACGGAACACCGCGGAAAAATTCCCTGACTTTAAATAAAAATTACGTGACAGTTCCGTAAAATTTCCGACAACCACACTTCGCTCCAGAATTACGGAAAATACACGTAATTTTTATTGAATATTTCTCTCAGTGTAAAGGGCCGAATGCATTCCTTTTGGGAACACCTGCATACAAGCATGCACTTCTCCGTCGGTAGCTTTTAAAGAAGGGTATATTATCCTTCATTGTGCGTTTATGAGCCAAGCATATATCTACTCTCGTTTCGATTCACCGTTCAAAGAACTTCCTGTTGTGTAAACATCAGTTGAACCTCCATGTATTTATTGGACCTTATCGCATCGCAATTGTCATGGAGGAGGGATAAACATTGTCAGTCCATATTTTCACTACTCCTTGTAACTACTTTGATCATTACCCTGTCTATTCTCTTTTGTGAAACGTGGAAAATCACTTTGAGATATTTTTAAAGCAATAAAATTTTATGACTGACTTCTGGAAAAATTCAATGCTCAAGCAATTTTACTTCATTCCCTCAAAAATTAATGCTCATCTCATCTCTCTGGACCAAAATGTACAAAAAAATTTACAAATAAATTTCTACTGATCTCCACAAATTAACAATTGTTCCGTAGTCCCCACTACAATTAATTCCCGGTTTAACATTCCTTACGCTATTAATAAAAATTATAAATAATGTATTTATTAATACAGTAATTAAATAATATTTATATAAATAATATTTATATAATAATATTTAAAGGATTGGGGAGAATTGAGTGAATTCGGGTGTTTAAAATCATGTTAGGGTGTGGAAATGGGATATTGCTAGAAATTCTGGGAGAGCATTGTCAAAATGAGTGAAAAGGTCGTGCAACCATCAGGCCATATCGACAATGCCATTCGACCCCCAAACATGCTACACATGTACACCCATACACTTCCCCTTCCACTCCCAATTTATCTCGAGAAACCGGTGCAATTGCCATTACCCCGACATACCCTGAGTCTCCTCACCCCCGAATTTATCAAGTCCAAGTCCCCACGCCCCTACTTATACAAAAGCCCGGGGAACAAAAATAAAGAAAGTAGCATGAAAGCGCGGTTGCCCGAAGAATGATAAAGTATGATTTTTATTGAGTCTCTAGACCCCAACTGTGTCTCCCTGAATGCCAATTACCTTACACGGAGAGAAATATTTAGTAAAAATTACGGAACTTTCAGTTCACTTACCGATTACGGAGTTGATTCGAAAAATTTAAGTGACGGTATAGTTATTTTTCACCGATAATTCAGATAAAAATTACGGAACACCGCGGAAAAATTCCCTGACTTTAGATAAAAATTACGTGACAGTTCCGTAAAATTTCCGACAACCACATTTCGCTCCAGAATTACGGAAAATACACGTAATTTTTATTGAATATTTCTTTCAGTGTACGTTTACCATTACTTATCCTCCGAGACTCTGAGACGATACGGAAAATTGGGAATCGGATTTTGCGAAAGGAAAATTTTAATTTATCCTCCAAGGACCACATATCGTTTTGTAATGAATTTAAATCGAGTCGAAAAATCAATTAGAGTCAAAACAAAAAACACAAAAAATAAATAAACATTTAATGAACGTGGAGAGGTCAATCTCTCCAAGTGAAACTTGATTCATCCAATCCTCCATTTCAACTCTTCCGATTGCAGCAACCAGAAAATTTGAAAAGATTCTCAAAAGCCCGATGAAAACATAATTATAAAGCGTATAATGAAATTTACAGTAATAACCGATAAAAAATGTCCTTCACCTCAGGTTTTCCTCCGTGAATTTGCCCTGACCCGTAGAAACGTGAAAAAAGGATTCGATACATTGCGATAATGCGATTGCTCACGTGTGCAACTGCACCGAGGTACCCATGAAGAATCAACTGGAAATCGATGTTGGATAAATCGATAGGATCAGGATTTGTGTTCTCCAGCCCTGATAGGGTCTTAGAATCAGATTCCCGAGGCGATATAATGCCATCAGACGTTGGCCGTGGAAGGAGGGCCCGAACAAGCACCGGCAATTGGTGTGGGTGCGCGGGTTACAAAAAATAAATAAAATTGTATGAAACAATGTGAGATGTGAGTATGCGTGTGTGTATTGTTACTTGTTTCCTGTATCGGTTTGAAGGTGTTTTTGGGGCGTGGCGAGGCTGGCATGATTACCACTGAGGATCGGTCAGCCGCGGTGAGAGTTCAAAGCATCAAAGAGGGTGACCGCGTGTGCGGCTCCACCAGCCGAGAAATTGCCCAGAATTCATCCTCCAATCGCGTATTTTCTGGGGGGGAGGTAGTTTATATATAACAAGTATGATGCGCCTTGTTAGGAGCCCCGAGATCATATCCCGACTTGAGTTTTCTCGTATTGGATGCTAATATCCTTTCGTAAATGATTTAACCGGGTTTATGTCTGACCGGTCATCATCAGTCGGGGAGGCATCGGTGATCGGTGAATTTTGTAAATTACGAGCGCGAGACCTGATACTTTTCACCTTTATTCGTGTTAAAATATCTTGACGAGTATTGGGCACGTTCTTAGAGTTATTCACTCCATCGACAGGTGAAACATTCATAAAACCATTTCAATAAACTGCAGGGGGATAATGCACCAACTTCAGAATTTTCTGTTTTCGAGGAGTTATGGGTTGGTGGAGGTTATTGCCGAGGGAGGAGAGGAGAAATCAGTCAGGTTCATATTATTTTTTATTGTTTTTTTTTTTTGGAAGTTCATTTTTTTGGGGCGCGGTTTTGGGCGAATTTTTAGGGGATTGGGGAATTGAGCTGATGGGAATTCTACTGGATATTTGGTCATCAAGATTACCGATTTTTCTTGAGCAATTATTTCGTTTTAGGTAATGATTTTTTGGTTCTTGGTTTGGTGGGAAGAATTTTTGAAAAAGGATGATGGTTTGAAGATTTGGGATTTGGAGTGTCACCCGATTTATTTAATATTTATAACAATTTTACTTGAGTTCTGATAATCTCAAATTAATATTTTGAATTTTCAAATCACCCAGGTAAAAAAAAAATTGTAATCGGAATATTTTTTCCAAATTTTCAAAAACTTTCTGGAGAACTTTTCAGAATTTTTTTTTTATGAAACAAACAAAAAACAAAAATCGGAAAACAGAACAATTTTATTTTTTAGAAAGATTTTGACAAATTTTTCAAAAATTTGGAAAAAATATTCCGATTACAATTTATAATAATATTATAATATTATTAATATTTATTAATAATAGAGGCCATACCATATACCTAATCGAAGTATACATATATACTCACTTATTGAAGTACATACACTGAGAGAAATATTCAATAAAAATTACGTGGATTTTCCGTAATTCTGGAGCGAAATGCGGTTGTCGGAAATTTTACGGAACTGTCACGTAATTTTTATCGAAAGTCACGGAATTTTTCCGCGGTGTTCCGTAATTTTTATCTGAATTATCAGTGAAAAATAACGATACCGTCACTTAAATTTTTCGAGTCAACTCCGTAATCGGTAAGTGAACTGAAAGTTCCGTAATTTTTACTAAATATTTCTCTCCGTGCAGGCAGTCTCAATTGAAAATGTTAAATCTCAAAATAAACCGGAATTTTCCACAACGTACATAGAGCAGATGCATAAATAATTTGAGAAGTTTGAGTTCTCTGCTCCAAAGTGATGATAAAAAAAAAAAAAGTCCACCGAGTTTTCTCCATCTTTTCTGGTCGTTCCCTTGGTGTTAGTTTTACGTATTATTACGACTTTCACTTCCGTCTTTGGTATTGATATGGATCCCATTACGATCATTACTCCTCTACATTCTAAACATATATTTATAGATGGAGAAGTTATAGTTTATCTGTACTGTTAGAAAGCAAACTTTCCGCGGCTATAAAGGTTGAGATATTTTAAAGTCCATATGCACTCGGTGTTTAGAGAGTTGCAGCACTGGATACGACAAGGTGCAATTAAGGGTTTAGATAACATCATCCCGGGTTAACCGAGGTACATACGTTTTCTAATCACCGTGGCTTATCTCACAATTAGTATAGGGTTTAGTCCAACGCACCCCATCAGATGAACACGAGTAATCCCTCGGATCTCACTATATAGTGACAACTTGTCATCTTTTTATCTTTTTTAATGATTTTTTACATTTTTTACTGCCCCACAGGTCGTGAAAGCAGCGACACGCAATTGTTATTTATAGTTACACATAAACGTGTCCCCAAAAAATATTTTTCAATTGAAAAATCATTTTTTTGGTAATTGAAAATAATTGAAAATAGTTGAAATTAATTCATGAGGATATTTTGTGTGAATTGTATTTTTATTGAATATTAGGAAAAATTGGTGTAGAAATTGGAATAATTTTTGAGATTATTGTTTAAATTAATTCTTTTTTATTCTTTTTTTAGTTGTTAGAAATCATCACGTATGAACAATCTCCTATTGGAACTCTCGATCCTAACAGTCCGCCGAGTTTTCACTGGACTATAAACTACGTAATAGCACTTAGAAGCAACAACAAAGTTCTCAATTTAACAACCAGCAGTTTCTCTGAATAAGGAACATTATTGTCTACTTCTGGTCCAATTACGTCGGATTTATTTCATTTTCTGAGGTTGAGAATTGTTTTCCTCCTCGAGAGAATAAATAATCTCGAGTGTAAATTAATAAATCCTTAGTGAAGTCTCATTAACCAATTAATTAACATTCATCAACATCACATTTTCATTATTTAAAATTGCAAGATCACTTGGAGGCACTGCAGACTGATAAAAAAAATCAGCAGATTGGGGTGCAATAAATGGAACGAAAAATCGTCCAATAAATGAAACCAAAAAAACACCAATAAATGAAGCAAAAATTCGAAAAAAAAAAATGTAGCTCATGACACCCGAACCACCAGAAGTAAGACGAGTGATTGAATGATGGGGCTGGACTTGAAAGAAGTTTGATGGCTTTTGTTCCCCGGAATTTCGTTGCAGCAAAAAGGGAGCGATTAAAAATGAATGAAAATGAAAAAAAAGAGATGAAATTGAGGGTGGAAGGGGTAATTAAAATTGACTCCTCTCGGACGAATCGGGCTGCGGATTTCTCTCTCGTTCATCCAGCCCCAATTAATAACGACGCTTCGGTTCACCCGAGAGGGCCATTCTTTAAGGCAGATTTATGATATCGAAGTTGGCGGCACAGCATTTAACCGCCGCTCCGAGTTTTGGTTATAATACAAGCGCGCCCGTTCGTGTGTATATGATAAGTGGGTGGGGGGTAATAAAGGAGAAGTACCGAAAAAAAAGAGGGGGGAGAGGGGGGGAGTGATGGACGGTGGTCGATCAGGGCTGTCAAAATAATGAGCACCACATAAGTAATGAGGCTTGTTACATGCGACAGAGGACGCAGCCACCGAGAGGAATATCTCTACCGGAGTTCACCGTTAAATGTACGTACTTGAATCAAGTATACTTTATTAAGTCAAGTATATATACACGGATACATGTTATATTTCGAGGAGAAAATTAATGAATTAATGAATTAATTGGATTATTTATCAATAAAGTTTATTAAAATCAATCGATTTTTTTTTAGATATTTATTTTAGATTTTTATATTGTATATTGGGTGGGTTATATAGGTACAGAGATTTTTTCTTGTTTTTATAAACAATTAATAATATTAGATATTTGAAATTGGAATGTTTAGTTTTCACAGATTAGTGCTAGAATTTTTCCGAAGAATTTTTATAATCTTGTGATTTCGGAGTTGCAGGTGTAATGATGTTGATAGGCGGCAGGTGTTCAGTAAATGAAACATCCGTCATTCGCTTTAATTATTGAAATAATTACGGTAATTAAGGATAGTATTTATTTTGAAAACCGTGAAACGTTGGGTGAGAAATAAAATCGAGAAATAATTAGCAAGCCCTTGGGGTGAGAATTGATAAATTCTGATCAATTGGAATTCAAATATTTTCATCGGTCGTGTGTCGAATTTTTATCGTCACGGATGATGGGAAGATCGTAGGGGAGTGAGCCTCACATTTTGACGAGCTCGTGTACATTATTGTAAATACATGAGCTATATGAGGGGTAGATGTAACCTCCACTCTATTATATCCACATTACAAGCGTTATTTTTATTTGTACCGAGTGGGACAACGTGTGACATTGTGTTTACGGTGAATAATTTCCCCCTCAGCACCCTTGTTTTCATCTGGATATAAAATATGACAGCACGATGCAACTGCGGCTAGGGGAATAATAGTCATTCTTCTTGACTTCTGTGAGCTGTATACATGGATGACCGGAACAAATTCAGACTGAATCGACCCGTGTTATTTAAAATAAATTACCTCTACTGTACAATCGATTGCAAATGTCACATAACGTGAAGAATGAGCGTGAGTAAAACGAATCTTCCATTGTTCGCACGGGGAGTCTTTCACAGGGAAAAAAAAGAAACGAGAAATAACACGAGATGGAAAATATTATCTCTGACGAAAAATATTCTCACTGGTACTGCAATTTGCTATTTCTATCTGCAGGCGCTCTAAATTTTAATAACTGACCCACCGAGTGCTTTTAAGAATTTCTGTCTTCTAAATTCTCAAACAAAAATCTTCTTCAGAAGTTTCAATTCCTGGGTCGTAATTCTTCGAGTCCGATATTTAGGGTTTTGTAATTTGAATGCCCAGGTAAAAAAAAAGTAATCGTAATATTTTTTCGAAATTTTCAAAAAATTTCGGGAATTCTCTTTCCACGAATGAATAAAAAATGGGTAAAATTTCCTGTTCAGTGCACATCCCCATCCCCAAAGTCCAATAAAATGCAAACCCACATGGAGAACATAAAAAAAATAAATTAAAATAGGGGTATGTCCCCCTGGGCCGATGGTTGGACCGCGCAATGACGCGTTAATTGAATATCACGTATATGGTAGCCCGCTGGAGAAATGAAAAGGAAAAGAGGGACATCCCAGTCGTACAAAACACATGAAACTGGTGGAGTGCGGTGGGAGGGAGATAGGGAGGAACTTAAAATGGTGAGAGAAGTGAAGGAGGTTTGCTAACCGCGACGGAAAGCCACGGCTTACACAAAGGGTGCATTAGCTGAGGCCATAAAAGTAAAATAGCCATGCCCATTCCTCTGTATAACTCTTGGGGCGCGCGCTAGTATGGCCAATCCCTTCTTCCTCATCCTGGCATTTGTGTTACTCTTCGTCGAGTGAGCGTGTCTTTATAGTTTCGACTGGTCAAGAAACATGAGCAATAAAAAAAAATAAAAATCCAATGGAAAATAACAAAGACCGGGGGAAAAGCAATTTTCATTTATTTATTTATTTTATTTACTTTATTTACTTCATTTATTTTATTTATTCATTTACTTTATTTATTTCATTTATTTTATATATTTTATTTACTTTATTTATTTTATTTCATTTATTTTTTATTGCATTTTTCTTTCCCCTAACCCCCCCAAACCCCCTCACCCCTACCAGTGGGCTGAAGACTACTTAACGCCTGTGTCCAATCACCCGCTGTTGATATGCATCTTCAATAATAAAAAATAATAATAATTGTAATGATGAGCAATAAAAGGCGAGGGAGAGTGAGCTCTTGCGGCCATTACGGGATGAAGAATCACCGCCATTTTGTTGGCGAATACATCGCCCGGAACGCTAAATTCCCCTCGGGCCACACGCACACTAGTGCAAACACGTGTTACTGAGTGCTCACTCTCGGGGCAAACAGGCGACTTTTTATTTTTATTATTTTCTTGGTGAACGTTAAAATCATTTGCTGGCATTCTTGCGGCTGTGGCCGAGGGGAATGCTCTATACGCAGGGATGATTTTTTATTTTTATTTTTTATGGGAGGCGTAATTATTGGGAATTGATTAAAATTTTGGGTGTGAGTTATGGAGACTTACGAGGCGTTATTCAAGGTCGAAATTTCACGGAATTTTCGGGGAGGATTTGGGGAGGGTAGGGAATTTGGGGTTTAGATGTCTGGAAAGGGGATGGAACGCAAATTTTTTGGGAGTTCAAATGTTAATTAAGATGATTCGGCACATAATGAATAAATAAATAAATAAATAAATAGATAAATAAATAAATAAATAAATAAATAAATAGATAAATAAATAAATAAATAAATAAATAGATAAATAAATAAATAAATAAATAAATGAATAAATATTTTGAATAGAACACGGCAAAATAATTAAATCATAAATTCTGGATTTTGAGACAAAAAAATATTTTTTTTTAATGCATGTGATATATTTTCACCGAATTAATTAGTCCATGTGGAATGTTGATTACTACATGCTTCCTTATTATTCTATTACTTCCGGTAAACCACAGATGCACTCAGCAATCGGAGATGATTGTATGGCATGCATTTGGCACGATTTATTGTTAGGGTTAAGTAGACACGAGTCATTTATCGTGTGGGATATATTTCATTTCGTGCGAGGGGCTTTGAGGATGATGATCACTCGTTAATCCTTGAATGTTAAGGATGATATAATTTTTTCCAGCCCTTCGATATTCTAGGGAGTTCAACGCTCACCTGCTCCGCAATAATTCGTGATCGCTCATTAATCAGATATCCAATTGAAATACATTTTCATCAAACTCCACTCACAAATATACATTATTTCCGGACTGTTCCACAATTCTCACAATTTTTTAACTTCACAATTATGAATTAACAACTAAAGAATTGCCGCAATATTAAATAAATTACAAGACTATTAAACAACTAAATTAACGAATTTCTCAATGAAGAATTCTCCAAAAATTTCGAGTGCAATTATTCCATAATTTTATCCCAGAAATTCAGGTAAAATCACCAAAAAACTGAAAAAATTCTGTAAAAATTCCCTAACGTGTCCCTCCACCCCCTCCCTCACCCCCTCGTAATTTCCGAAGACATACCCAATTCAATTATTAATTTCTCATTGCGCCCGTTATTAATTTGAGAGACTCAAGGTGATTTTACCGTATAATAAAAATTCTCGTCTTACCCGCGCCGGTGGGCGCGAGGGAGAAGGGGTGAGAGGGTGAGGGGGTGAGAGGGTGAGGGGGTGAGAGGGTGAGGGGTTTAAGGGGGTGAATGGGGGAATTTTTTTAATTCAGCGATAGTGGCGTAGGGATTGTTAATAATTCTCGACGAGTCGGACTAAGAGCGTAAGCTTGTCATGGCGAAGAGCCGTGAAGAGGTGGTAGGCTGTTCTCTCACCCTCTACCCCCGACGGGGTCGGGGCCCTCCAGAGTGCGGTGTTTGCAGAATTCATTGAATCATTGCCGCTGCTGGGGCGGCACGCGCCATCCAAAGGGCAATTTTTCAATTGTTACTCCTTCATACACCCGAACAAGTGAATAATGGGAAAATATTGTACGTAGGGATATTTTTATTACTCGATGCCACGATTGCGCACTGCCTGGAGCTCAAGTAGTAATTCACCTTTGCGATCAGACACACGCACTTACGTATATTTATACTCAGTGTGTTGATTATTTAATTATGTAGCTGTATATATTGTCAACGGGATATCGATTAATAATTTGTTTTAT